AGCCCCCCGCCGCCCCCTGCCCCTCTGTCGTGTATTTTTTTTCTAATTTTTTTGCTCTTCATTCTTTTTTCACAATTTTTTTTTTATTTTTTTTTATTTTTCTCTCTATCTCCATTCTTCTTTCTATAACCCCTCATGGCGACCGCCAAGCGTCTGCACGCCGGACGCGTTTCATATTATATCCCATTGGGGGCCCCGGGTTACTTCTTAGAAATCCCCTGCGGCATCGGAGGCCACTAATGATGTTTTCTCAAAAACGAATCAATGCACGAGAAAAAGCTCACGGTTGACGCTGAACTGGGTCAGCCATCTCCTTTGAAAAATTTATAAAAGTCGGGGGAGTTTTAAGAATCCTTGGACGTTTTAGTTTTTGTCAGGTTGTTTCTTTTTTTTTTCTTGGTTTTTAACGTCGCTGCGCGTGACATTCTCGAACTGTCGGGGCACGTATTCCAGTCGAGTTTGTTTGGCATCGGGAGATAAATTGGGAGGGAAATTTAGAGACGGGGAAATTTATTATTGCGTTATCCGGAAATCAATGGACGTGCAAGAATTGTTGAGGGAATTTTCGACGATTCGCGGGGGGGATGGAGACTATTTTAGGTGAGGAGTTGAAATTGTTGGATGTCGTGTGGTGGGGACTCCATAAAACCAGAGATTTCGGAATGAAATGACATCGCCGAAGCTGTTAATGAGGTATTTGATATTTGAAGTTGATTGGGAAAATTCACGACCTTCTGGGCGCGGGAAAGAAATTGAAAGTGAACTAGATCTACATTTTTTTAAGAGATTGTGATACTCGTAGAGACCTTCGCCCGAAAAAAAAGATTTATTTTGAAACTAAAGATCTTACATTGAGATTTTCTAAGGTCTCGAGTCGAAATTTCCCGAATTCCCAACTCGAGACGTTCAGAACTCGAGTTAAGATATGTCCCAAGACAATACCGCCCAAAAGTTAGTCACTATGAATTTCCGGAGAAATTTATAAAAGTCGGGGAGTTTTAAGAATCTTTGGACGTTTTAGTTTTTGTCGGGTTGCGTTTCTTTTTTTGTCGTTTTTAACAGAAGTGCGCGTAGCATTTTCAAGCTGTCGAGGCACGTATTCTACTCGAGTTTGTTTGGCATCGGGAGATAAATTGGGAGGGAAATTTAGAGACGGGGAAATTTATTATTGCGTTATCCGGAAATCAATGGACGTGCAAGAATTGTTGAGTGAATTTTCAACGTTTCGCGCGGGGGATGGAGACTATTTTCGTTGAGAAGTGGATTGAATTATGGAGAAAATCCGGGAGCAGAAATTGTTGGATACTGTGTGGTAGTGACTCGATAAAACCAGAAAATTCAAAGTGAAATGAAATCACCGGAGCTGTTAATGAGATATTTGATGAAGTTGATTGGGAAAATTTACGACCTTCCGTGCGCGGTAAAGAAATTGAAAGTGAACCAGATCTACATTTATTTAAAAAGATTGTGATACTCATCAAGAATCCTTGACGTTTTAGTTTTCGTCGGGTTGTGGTTCTTTTTTTTCGTTTTAAACATTTATTTTAATTTAACGAATCTAATTTAATTTACCGAAATTCCAATTTAATTTACCGAATTCTCAACTCCACTTGTTTCCAGTCGTTCACTCTAGTTTCACTTCGACCAACCACTAGAAATTTACCTTGCCCACAGAAGAGATACTTCAAAATAATATCTAAAATCAATTGTCAACAAATGCTGGTCATAAATAATTTCTGCGCAAATTTTTAAAGCATTTCTAATTTATGACAGTGACAAATTTTTAAAACTGTTTTATATATAGAAATGAGAAGTGACCGTGATGTTAATTTAAAAATGCACATTGAACTAAGACGAAATGAATAAAAATAAAAATCCAGAAGCCTCTATTCCGCTTATTAAGTAATGTAATGTGATATCTATGTATTTTTTTTATGTACTGTAATCCTCTGTTTACAGGAATTGTAAAAAAAAAGAGAAATTCATTTCTTTACTATAATAAAAACAATAGTTCTGTAAAAAAATGATATATTTCTGTAAAAAAAAATAGATACATAGCATTGCATATGTTTATAGTACATAATACATCCCTAAAAATAAAACGAACGCAAAAAGCAAGAGAGACGAAGAAAATGAAGAGAACCATGACGATTCCGAATAAATTATTCAACAATTAAATTCTCATTGCAACAAACTTTGTTGAAACCACTCATTTTTCCTGCATTATTATTGAGATAAAAATTAATGAAAATGAGAAACGGTAACGCTTTACTATTCTAGCACCCATGGAAAACAAAACGCGTGCGCCCTGTTCTAGTTCATAAAAAAAAATGAAGTTTTATTTATATAAATGAAAAATGACGGTCATATTTTTTGGCTAATTGTGAGTCATAGAGGGGGGGGGAGGGGTAATTGTGACAGCCGTCATGAAAAAACCCGTCCCCCAACTCCTGCGAAACAACTTCATCTCCAAATAAAAAATAAAAAAGAAAGAGTGCAGTGTCACCATGCCAATTAGACTTTCCAAACCTCCACAAATGATTATCATCACACGTGCAGTTGACCATGAACAGATAAATCGAGTCTCTAACATTGAAAATTGTTATTCTAATGGAGAAGGAGGGCGAGTTCATGCCCCACGGGAGACTCCAACAGGGGGAATAAATTTGAATGAATGATTGTGTACCGCGTGGGCCACCCGTTTGTCCAACGTTTCATCCTCGCACGAAGCGCGTACGATTCTTTTCGTTGAAAATCGATTTCCCCCAAAATTAATGGACACCCCCGAGTACGTTTCATCAAATGAGCAACGCCCCAGAGGGAGGAATCAGCCTCCCTTTCTGATGCACCATGTGCGTGAGATAATCGTGATCTCTCTCCCCTCACCCTTCCCCCATCTGTCCCCGTGGCCGCGTGGACCACCACGATTTTTCAATGCCCGTAATAATAGAAAGACGACAAGACGGCTGAATTTATGAGCCACGATAAATCAGAAAAATTCCCGAGGGACGGAATAACGAGCCCCTGAATTACAAGACATTAATGAACTTTGCATTGTTCGGATGAGTCAATGTGAATGTCAAGGAAAATTGTACGAATGTAACCGTTGCGTGAGGAGATGCGGTAGAGTCTCGGAAAAAGTACCGCGGAGTGAACCCACGTGTTTAGATGTTTCGAATGAAAAAAAAATTCGTCCCTTCGGGTGGGAAAGAGAAATTGAATGGAAAAAAAACAAAAAGAAAAGAAAAATTTGAGTGTTTATGTAATATTAAGACTTTTAGATGGATTATAGTCTAGTGATTTTATAATACTAGACGGAGCGCGCGGTGACCTATCCTGAGACCCTTGATGACGTTTCATCAACCTGATAAATGCATTGTAAAAAGAATGATGAACAGGAAAAAATCAATGAAGAAGATAAGATAAGATAAGATAAGGTGTTTATTGTTTAGAAATTTAAACAAATGATACAAAATGATAATATAAGGTAGGAGAAAATACATAGAGAGAAACACATGACATAAAAGCAAAAGAAAGCTGTAGCGCTGGCACATGGGTGATGAAAAAGCAATAAAAAACATCAGAGCGAATTAGCCAGTGAAGAAGATCAATTATGAGTGGGTAATTAATGAGCTATTTTGAATTTTCTATCAACTCGTACAAATTTTTTAGAGTAACCCGTTATTAATCCTATTTATGAAAATAGAAAAATGAAGAAATGGAAATTTATAACTTTTATGAAAGTTAATGATGAACGAAAATTCAACAAAATTGATAACTAAAATGGGCAATATAAAAAATCCCTTCCGTCATGAGTAGGGGAGGGCGGGGTAAAATGGGAACTTTAGACTTTTATATAATTATTCATAACTCAGAAACAAATTCATCAATTCAGCTCAGTTTAGGCTAGTCACAAAGGGGAAGAGTTGTTCCTTGTATTGAAAAAAAATTATTAAATTTTATCAACATTTCAACCCCTCATTAATATTTTAAAAAATGCAAGTGTCCGTTTTACCCCAACCTCCCCAATTCCTTTGAACTCTTCATTTCATCAACTTCATCGTTACACTTGATGTTCATTTAACTTGACCCTGTACTTCATCGCGAGCTCTGCATCTACCTGAACTAAACTTAAAAACGAAATGAACTTACTTCATTACAAACAGTCTCAGCCCGATTAGTGTACCAATCGCAACTGCCGTCCGTGCTGTGTTTCTTCATGCACTGCATTCTGCACTGAGCTATCCTCACGATCGGTCCAAGATCAAAACTCTCCCCCAATGCAATGCAGAGCACAAAAAACACAAAGACACACAGGGACCGCATTTTAACAATCCTTCAGTCGATACGCAGTACCACCACTCGCACTACCACTGAATCGATGCTTCGTAAACAAAAAAAATATTATAAGCGTGTGCGAGGGCACAGTGGAGCGATGCTGTGTGCTTCTACCCTCCCAAAAATTCAGGATCAACTGTGACCCCTCGCCGCTCGGGGGAATCTTATATAGACCGTTTGCCCCACCGCCGAAAATTTTCGTGGGCTCC